GTAGTCTCCCTTCATCAATGTCAAAATAACTACCTCTCCTGTCCAGGTGGGCACAGCATTGGGACCACAACTCAGATGTGTGGATATTGACCAGCTTTTGTGTCTGTGCTCTCTTTCTCTGACAGTCTGTCCTGTCCTCCTATGGGCAGTATAGAGTTTGAATACTGCTTGCTGGGTGTCTGTGGGTCTCTTGTTTTCTTTTTTTTTTTTTTTGTTTTTTTTCTGGTACCAGGAATCGAACTCACGACCTTGAGCTTACCAGGCAGGCACTGTGCCACTGCGCTAAATCCCCAGCCCCAAGGGTCTCTTGTTTTCAAGTGTGCTTCTTTGATTATTGGTTTCCAGTATGTGAATATTGTCTTATCTTTTCATGTGTGAATGCAGACAGATATAGATTAATGTATACTTTCCTAATAGTGCTTTAGTATTAAATAATTTGCAATTTTTTTTTCAAAATTGTTGGTTAGACTTAGCACTGATAATGTAAGTAACCTGGGAATATTCAGAAAGTTTTTCATTGGGCCTTGGGCAGTGTTTGAGAGCATCCAGGTGATTGAAACACTACCTGACTCAACTCTCTCTTGCCCCATAGATGATCACTCTCCCAGTTTGTTAACTTTTCCTAAGTTTATCATGTGTGAGTTTCTATGAAAAATGCCCTTTTGGTTTTCTCCCTTGGGATTTTCAATAAGTGATTATTACAGACTTGCAAAGAGAACTATTTTCAGAGGGATTTTTTTTCTCCCTATTGTTCACAAGTGATGATATGTGAATCCAGAGCCAAGTGCTTTCTCATCCATATCATTGGTCATGTGATGCAGGATTTTTCAAGTTTTCTTGAAAATAATCACATCTCTTCCTAGGAATAATAGCACAGTGTATTTAGTGCTCATTGAAAGAAGTTACTGGTCTGTAGGTTTTGGTAAACTGTGAAGTAAAGGAAATGAATGCAGAGTACAGCAGTTGATTCTCCATTATCCCATAAGTCTGTGTCCCTTTTGTGTTCTTCCCCACTTTCATGTTTTTCAGTGATTTCTTAAAAAAAATTTGGTTCTTGTTATTGATTCAGTGAGTAAGATGTGTTGTAGTCAGTTTTTTAGATTTGTGTTCATTGATCTTTACTCCCTATACAAAACCTTCATACTGTGCACACGTGAAATTTATTCTTACCTTGTTTATATCTAATGTTTTTCATTTGTTTCAATTTATCACTCTAATTCTGATGGTTATTTGATTTTCTTCTGAGTAAAAACTTTTTTCACATTTAAAAACTTATTTCATATGAATTCTCAAGCATTCTAGGTTATCTTTCTCGTTTCAATATGTAACATATATTGCAGGTAGAATAGAAAATAACCAGAGCAAAATACCATAGAGAAATTTTCTTACACGATTGGTACCAGAATTCCTAAGAGATCATTTACAGCAGAGAAAAAACAAGGGAACTATTTTAAAAAATTGTGGAGCATGCTGGTGAGCTGATAGGTGAACAGGCAGGTTCAGCATCAGAAAGACTTACTATGTCAATCCAGTAAGACTCAGGTTCCCAAACACATACCTGTTTCTCACTAAACATAAATTAAAGAGATTGTGATTCCTTCCAAAGATGTATAATACTGGATTTATCAACAAGCAGTATTCCACATACCTGTCAACCCACTGAATTTTGTGTTCCATTCTTAAGATCTATTTGGCATTCTCTCTAATGATTGTTCTTTCTCATGAAATGTGGAATTTGAATGTGTTTTGTGTATATTATGGAAGCTATCAACCATCTTGCTTAGAAGATGTTGAATGTTGTTAGAATTTTCTTACATTGTATAGCTATAATTTTTTAAACAAATCAAAGGTGTCTTACGAAGTGACTTTTTTTTTTAAGTTTTACTTTGTTAGTGGGGAGTTTGAGTCAAGTTCTCTCTTTGGATTTCACACAGCTGTGTGACTGAGGCCGGCCTCAATCTCAAGGCATTTCTCCTGCATCAGCCTCCCAAGTGCTGGGGCTGCAGGCATATGTGAACACAGCTAGTTGAAATTTTCCTTTTGTGCCTGATTACTCTGTGATATATTGGTTTTCAATGTATATAATTCATTGTATTCATCTTTCCCTCACACAACTTTAGAATTTCTTATATTTGAGTGGAAGGTAATTAGTTGGTGATGTAGCACTAGGATAATTTGCAGCCTTTGCCTGTTTTCATTGTTCATAGACTTGTTCCAATAAAATTTTCTATTAAAATTTCAGTTATTATCTATACACTATAATTGGTATTCATTTATTTTTTTCTATAAAGCCAAATTCAAGATTCAAGATGCTGCTTAAGTAGAATCAAAGAAAGAAGACTCAATGTAAAAAATGAGATTTGAAAAGAGATATTTCTTATAGTCTATCAGAGTGATTCATTAGATATTCCTCTCCCCCTGTGCTTTGTGGATGGTGGTCTTGTAGGCTCCCAGTGCTCTGTTTTAGAGAGAATGCACAGGTACCCTTGACAAGACCCAGCAAAAGTACCAGTGCTCCTGTTCTGTTGTTGCATTAGGAAACAGTTACAATGTAGCATCAAAATTGCTGTCTGAAAAAATATGCTTACACATAGAATTGATGACCAAGACATGGAATTAACATTTGAATAATTCAGCCTCCATTTAGCTGTTTTGTTTTGTTTTGTTTCCTTTTGTTTTGTTGAGACAGGCTTTCTTCTCTATGTAGTTGAAGCTGGCTTTGAACTCACTATGGAACCCACGTTGGTCTTGAACTCACCCAAATCCTCCTACCTCAGCATCCTGAGTGCTGGGATTACAGATATGGACCACCAGGTTTGACTCTCAATTCAAGTATTTATGAGAGGAGTTAAGGTATCCCAGGATGTGAATCTCAAACTTCCTTTGAGAAATATATATATATATATATATGATTGTTTAGGAGGCAGTGACCTTTGAGGATGTGGCCGTGAACTTCACCATGGAGGAGTGGGCTTTGCTGAATCCATCCCAAAAGAAGCTCTACAGAGATGTGATGGGGGAAACTTTTAGGAACATGGCTGCCATAGGTAAGGATGACATCTCTTTCTCATTTATATTATCAGAGAATACTATTTGTTGCTCATTAGTGCTGTTCCATTAAAAAGAATATGAAAACATTTTGAAGAGTAGATCAGTCCTGGTTATATTATATCATGAATCTAATTGAAATCTATTGATTTTTATGTATAAATATGATGATTCCTTATATTTCTGTGTCTATAATTCAGGAAGAGCTGATGATAACCTGGAAGTTGGAAAAGAATACAAAAATTACTGGCAATATCTAAGGTAATTTGCACTCAGAAGGAAAAAGAATGCTTCTCCAGAGTCAGTGTGCGAGCAGAAACATGACAACCACAGAAGTAAGGCAAAGTTTAATTTAATGTCAAAAATATTCTCCAAAGAGGTGTACAGCTTGAGTGTGTAATCTGACAATTGGATCATGAAAATGTATGAAATTGCATTTAGGTATTGTATATAGATGTATATGGAAAAAACAAACAGAGTTTTGACGGGAACCCATTTTTAGGACATCTACGTATGTATAATGTGAATATAATATATTCGTGTCTAAAAATTGCTAATCTTGAAGCAGTATTCAAAGAACAAATGAATGCTAGTGTTTCAGTATGTGTTTTCAAACTATTCTGTAGAGAACTAAGTCCATTCTACTTTAACATTCTTAGAAATCTGATGGAATTTTAAGTATAGTCACTGTGATAAACAGTATATAGATGTCTCTAAAAGTTGATCCAGACATACTTCTGGGTATAGTCTCAAAAGAGTCAAAATCATCATATTGTATGGATGCATGCATATCCATACTCACAGAAGGTCAGTTTATAACTGGTAAGCCATTGAATCAGCTTAGATATCTATCATTGGATGCATGGATAAGGAGAATTGTTGATAGGTTCCGTGTGACTACTTTCTTCTAAACCCAGCAGTCTGGGAAGCAGATTTTGCTGAATGGCAACTTGAATCGCAGCCTGAACAACTTAGTCATCCTTGACAATCTCTCAAAATAAGAAATAAAAAAGCTGGAGATTTTGTGCTAAGACCTGGGTTTCATTCCCAGTGCTAAAAAGAAAAAGGAAAATATAATCAGCCAAAAAAGATAAATTATATCATGTCATTTTCCACAAGTAGTAGGTGTGTCTTCTTCCCAGTATGAAGTGAAATAACTCAGCCACACATGAAATGTGACATGGTTTCTTTCATATGAGAAACTAAAAAATATATTAGAGTAAAATAAAGGAGAAGTGATAGAGAAAGGAAAGACTGACTTTGGAGATGGAAAAGACAGATCAAGGAGAGAAAGGGGGAAGTGATGGAGGAAAAAGTATCAAAATGATCAATTTGTGATACACATATATCCTCATTGCCCAAAATTAACCTAAACATTCTGTATTTCAAGGTATACCAACTGTAAAATTCCCAAATAAATACTCTTTTGGAAATGGCTGTTTCGAATGTATCTTGCAAGACATTCAATTAATTCTTGTCAAAAATTTCATAGCAGGCAACAAAACAAAACTTGTTCTGTTAAATCATTAATATGGAGACCCATTTTATTGTGATTTTGTTTTCTTTACAGAAATGAAGAGGTAGGGAAATGCTATCAGTATACAAGTTGGAATCAATATGAAGAAATATTCCTTTGTAGTCCAGATGCTAATGTGGATGTGAGACAAACAGCCACACACAATGATGTAGAGATCCATGAAACAGATTGCAGTGGAGGGAAACCCTATGTATGTAAGCAATGTGGGAAAGCTTTTACCACACGTGGATATTGTCAAATATATGAAAGCCTTCACACTGGAGAGAAACCCTATGTATGTAGGCAGTGTGAGAAAGCTTTTACCACAC